ATTCAGCAAGCAATGGCTTTCCACTTTGCTGTGAAATCCTCAATGCGCTTCTCTAACGGATCAATCTATTAATGCCATGGTTGTGCCATGCAGTGTTATCAATTCTACAGGAACATAGTTTACGATTCAGAAGATGTTCTATAAATTTAAAGGACATTGAATTTAAAGAATTTTCCAAGAAAGTGGAAGTACTTGCAAACTACCTCCAAGTAACAATCAATCTGTCCTGTTCATTCATCTCAGTTGATCTGATGTTGAGGATTTCTGAACTACAAGAAGTGATATCTGTGGGGTGCTCAGCAATGACTTTTTTTCTGGGCCTAGCTTCTGAATCTATAACTTATACCAGTGATGGCGAACCTTTTAGAGACCGAGTGCCCCAAACCCACCCCTACCCCTGCTCTACCTCCCGCCCTGCCTGCTTCGCCCCTGCCCGCCCCCTGCTCCACCCGCCCACAGGGCCATGCACTGCCTCAATGGCCCGCCATAGCAGATCACCCAGGCAGCCCTGCAGCACCATGACAGCCACGCCCTCCTCCCACACCCCGCAGCATCATCTGCATGCTATGGAGCACGAGGGCAGAGTCTTGTACCTGCTGCCCAGCTATGTCCTTGGCTGCGCTGCTCCGTGCAGACTGCGCCTGGGGGCGACTCTCCTCCAGGGGGGTTGCTGGAGAGGAGGAGGCCACAGGGGGAGGCGGGGCTGGGGCGATGGCACGCGTGCCCACAGAGAGGGCTCCGAGTGGCACCTCTGGCACGCGTGCCATAGGTTTGCCACCACTGACGTATACCCCATTAAAAACAAAACACAAAACGGATTCCATCAATTGACAGTGGTGGAATGTAAAAAAAAGGAAAACCAGTTGCAGAAAACTACCTGGTGATATCAGAACAGCAGATGAAAACAAGGCAATTTCTTCCTCGGTCAGCTGCAATGTACACAAATTCTTTGCGAAGTCAAATGCTTCATTCACAAGGTCGTCAGAACCTACAGGCAACACAGATAACCAAGTCAAATTCTTGAAATATATTTTGAGCGAGAAACTTTGTAAATGCAGTGATCTTTTCAACTGGAAAAGCTGAGAACTTCTGAGTTCCTTCTGTGTCTGAAGCAGTGCAAGAAAATAAAAGCCATTTTTCCACCCAGCAGCTGAGTTTTTGATATTCTGTAAAGGTCTACTTTCACGTGAATTATGAGCATTAGAAATATGTTCCTCTAGAATAGCATAGAATAACAGAGTTGGAAGGGACTTTGGAGGTCTTTCAGTCCAACCCCCTGCTTAGGCAGTGGCTATAGGATTTATACAGCTCAACTGTTAAGCGCTGTTGTCAAGTTATTACCTCCTACATGAAGTTTCTGGGCGTGGGTTTGAAAATAGCGAGAATGAATCTCACACTCACATGCTTCAATTAGTTAAGCTTGTATACTTTATGGTTGAAGAGATCTAGTTTTCCATTCAGCTCTATCAACAGCCCAATCATTCTCAGTCCTGAGTCCACTCAAGGGAGTCACATGATCCATGAGAATAATACTGGTGGGCTTTCCTGTCATTTGCCCATCAATTCTGCATGCTGCTGTCTTAAATACCCACCTCAACTTTAGAGATGGAATACATGAAAGAGGAACTAGTGAACAGTTATCAGGTTTGTAATGGAGCAGCCAGTCATTCACCTATCTAAATCAGAGGTCCCCAACCTTTTGGGCACCAGGGATCGGTTATGTGGCGAGATGTTTTTCCACAGACCAGAGGGGGCATGGTTTTGTGTGCTGCCTGCATCCCGTGGATGGGGCTTTGCTTGTTTGTGCAGCCCGGTTGCTGGCATGCCACGGCCCAGTACCAGTCCATGGACCAGGGGTTGGGGACCCCTGATCTAAACCACTTAGGACTATAAAGACAAATTGTGACCTGTCACTTAATTTCTTATTATAAATCTAATGTGCTCATTCACTTCATATAATCTATGTAGAAGTAATTTCCCCTTTCAGGTTAGAGGGATAGAATCAAGATCACGTGAAGTATTAATACCACTTTACAATGCCTTAGTAAGGCCACACTTGGAATACTGCATCCAGTTTTGGTCACCGCGATGTAAAAAAGATGTTGAGACTTTAGAAAGAGTACAGAGAAGAGCAACAAAGATGATCAGGGGACTGGAGGCCAAAGCATATAAGGAAAGGCTGCTGGAAGTGGGTATGTCTAGTTTAATGAAGAGAAAGACGAGGGGGGACATGATAGCAGTGTTCCAATATCTCAGGGGCTGCCACAAAGAAGAGGAGTCAAGCTATTTTTCAAGGCACCTGAGGGCAGGACAAGAAGCAAAGGATGGAAACTAATCAAGGAGAGAAGCAACCTAGAACTAAGGAGAAACTTCCTGACAGTTAGAACAATTAACCAGTGGAACAACCTGCCTCCAGAAGTGGTGAATGTTCCAACACTGGAGGTTTTTAAGAAGAGACTGGACAGCCATTTGTCTGAAATGGTATAGGGTTTCCTGCCTGAGCAGGGGGTTGGACTAGATGACCTCCAAGGTCCCTTCCAACTTTATTATTATTATTATTATTATTATTATTATTATTATTATTATTATTATTATTATTATTATTATTATTATTATTAT